ATACAGAAAATATTCGCATGGAGTCACTGTGGAAGTTCACCTTCCGTTCAGAGTGCCCCCTGCTGGACCTTTTCAGAACTGCAGCTGGAGAGCCAAGATCACCAGAATAAACTGTTTTTCCACAAAAAATATCTGGAACAAATCAGAAGCTCTTATTTCTCGCTAACTGCAGTGCCACTTTATTAGTAAATATGTATCCAATATGATAAATTTAACTGATAGCCACAAATATATAATAAGATATGCGACACTTCTTTTGAAGATCTGAAAAAGTTATAATTTTAATCAAATAAAAGTTCCTTCCCCAGTCCCTCTTTTTTGGGGGTTCCCCAAGGTTTTGTCCTTGGATCATTATAATTTTCCATTTATTTAAATGGGAAATGAGACTTAATGACTCCAGGGATACAAATATTGCTTCATAAGGTTTTTTTTTTTTATCCTTCAGTGAGGGACAAATATTCTTTCATATTCCATACTTCACCAGAGTGAGTTCATATTAGAGCCCATTTGTCTCTGTTTTCACACAGCTGCCTGTCAATCAACTCCCCACCCCACCTCACCATCACAACAGTCTCTACCAGTGCCCCCGTTGGTCTAATTGGCTAAAATCTAGTTTTGTGAAGCTCATCACAAATCTATACTGGCTGCAGGAAACACACTTTGTGCTGGGACACTAACAGGAAAAAATAAAATATAACTTTAAAGCCTTTAATAGCTGCTCAGTGAATGCACCTGAGAACTTATTATTTGTAATTATTAATATAATTAGCCCATTATAAGATCTTAATTTACTCGCTAATTTATGCAATTAATTTGTGTGTTTAAAATGTTTTATGGAAAACCACAAGTTTATTCTGATGTAGAGCAAAAGAAAGCAACACAATAATCATTTCCTCTAAAAGCAATGTTATAAATAAATTACGTAACATTAGAAAACAGCAGAAATCATTACGACAATAAATCTGTCAAAATGGTTTCTGTGACGTAACGAAACATTTTTTTTTCTTGTTTTCTATCTAAAATGTTTTGATTTGAAAGAAATTGTACACTTTATATGATTAATTTAACCTTAATTTTTCTTTCTGAAGCAGGATGAGCTTCTCATAGTGTTTATATACATTTATGTATGTTTCACATTTTGTGGTAAAGTTTATCTTTGCATATACAACTGCTGATGTGATTTTCTCTCAAAAACAACAATACGAGTCTGAAAAATCAGCTAAACTTTACAAGGGAAGTAATATTTGTGAAAGAAATATAAATAATTGGGTAAAATGATTAATTGTTGGGGTTTTTTGCCAGTAGTTTTTAAACCAGGAAAATTAACAGAGATGCAGCTCAAAAACAACAAAGGTTGCTTGTGTTGCAGCGAGCGGCAGCATTGGGGTGAAGGGTTGTGGGTAAAGCTCGTTGCTGAGGTTCCCAGCCAACTTGGCACGCCTTTTCAACCTCTCCTCTCGTCCTTTTTAATTAACGTGCAGGCAAACTATCCAGTTGAACCAGTATGTGATCAATTATTGTGGCTCGCTTTAGTCTAAATCATCCTCAGCAGAATTATTTTTTTTAATCATTTCATGCTGATTCTCAGCAAGTAACCTGAAAAATGACATAAAATATCAACTTTTGACTTGTTGGTCAGGCTGAGAAGATTATTCTGGCTCTGTTGTAAATGTGCCAATAATTAGGACCTTATATGTTTATTATTCAACCGGTCAAATATAAATCAGGAAAAACAGAGTACTGGATTCTGTCAGTTTAAACGCTTTCATTTTGAAAGAAAAATGTTTATAAAATAACTTTTGTTTTTACTTAATGATTTTGTTAGCCTTTTATTTTAAGCATGAATTACCAGCATGAAAATAATCGCCCTGTCTGAGATTAAACTGACTTTTCATATTACATATAAAACTCAAAAATAGCCATTTAAGCTGTTGCAGCCACAGAGATAAAATAATGAGCCCTTTTGTCACTCCTCTTCCTCAGCTCACACTGGCCGTCAGACTTCTGGCGTCAGGCTCTTCACACTTGGGGTTGTGAGGAGGTGGACCGTCAATTAGCGAGTCACGCGTTCAGTGGAAGAAGGAGGAAAATCCACGAGGAGTCCTTAAGGTCTGGCCTCTGTTCACCTCTCTCTAACCTGGTGACCTCAGGGTCACGACCCTCATCTGGAGCTGCGTTATCAGCTCCATGACAAAGAAGACGAACATTGAAGTCCAGCCTTCAGGACAAGCTGCGTGAGGCTGTTGAAGGCCGAATGGCTGCAGTCGCCCTCCAGCAGAGACGCCTCTCTTTACCATCAGAACCAGCCTGATAAAACCGAGCTGTGCTTTTTAAAACCTTTAATGCAGAGAGCAGTACTAATGTGCTCAGAGCTGGGATGGAAAGAGCTTTTTCTAAAGGTTTAATGGAGACACTAAAGAAAATACAAACATTTTAGTTATACAATACCAGTTTCTTCCAATTAGGCAGAAATTTGAGGAAAAAAAATATTTTTTTGCATAATGTACTTTTTTAAGTATACAAACAGGAATGTATGTTCCTGAGAGAAAATGCACAAAATATCCAGCAGCTCCACTGTTAACAAACAGAACACAACATTAATTTAGTTTTTATATGTAATTATGAACCAAAGGGCAGCACGGTGGTGCAACTGGTAGAGCTGCTGCCTTTCAACGAGCAGGTCCCCGGTTCAAATCCCGTTCCGGAGGCCTTTCTGGGTGGAGTTTGCATGTTCTCTCTGTGCATGCGTGGATTTTCTCCGGGTGCTCCGGATTCCTCCCACAGACTAAAAACATGCATGTTAGGCTGACTGGTAACTCTAAATTGTCCCTTGGTGTGAGTGAGAGAGCGAATGGTTGTTTGTCTCGTTTGTCTCCATGTGTCCCTGTGATGGACTTCCGACCTGTCCAGGGTGTACCCCGCCCCTCGCACAGTGTTTGCTGGACATGGGCACCGGTGACCCCCGTGACCCAAAATGGAAGACGTGGGTAAAAGATAATGGATGGATGGATTATGAACCAAAAAGATCCTGACGGGGCTATTTTACTTAATTTAATTGTGCGTTTTGACAAATTAGTTTTGTTTGTAAGTTGAGGTCAAAAACTGCACACATGACTGAAACATCCTGAATGTGATTTTGTCACAATGCCTGTGCAGAGAAAAGTAAACTGAGCAAACAGGACTCTGAAAGTGAGCGCTTCAGCTTGTCAGACTGTTTGAGTTACGTGATTTAGCTGATACGATTGTTCAAAGCTCTCAGATTATTTCATTTTGGAATAAAAACAGCAGTAGCAGCACTTTTTTTTGGCACTTTTGCAACTTTAACATTCAAAAAATAAAATGAAGGTTTTGCCATGTGAATAAATTTATACAAAAGGGGGTTTCCTCCCACTAACATCTTCAATTTATTGGTAATTTACTAAAGAAAGTTGACAGTCTGAAAAGTGAGCTACATTTGATTTTCATAACAGTACCCTCAAAAACACTGTAAATTCAAAGCCAGTGGGCGTAATGACACACTTTATTGCACCGATATTAAAATGTGAGCAGATATAGGAATTTGTGGCTAAAGGAAAGAAATAAAAAAGTGGAACAAGTATCTATCTAAAACCACAACCCATTATTACCCCTGGTGTTGTTATTCTGATATAAACAACTGTTTTGGAAAAAGTACTTTTTACAAAGTTTCTCTGAGTATTAAGGGAGTCATAGACACTTGTCACTGTGAGATCCATCACTCCACAGTGAGGAGATATTGCTCATCAGGTCCAACAGAACATGACACCATGATGCCATCTGGTGGCAGAACCTCCATGACATCTGCTGCTAGATCCTTCTTTAAATATTTCTTAGAGGCAGAAATAATTTTAGACAAGGTACATGTCATATAAAGCTGAAAATGAAACATATATTTCCTGTAAAAATGCAGTGCGACTCTTGAGGGCTGAAGAAGCTGAAACAGAGCTCTTAAAACTAAATGACAGAAACACAGAAGCCACATGGAGCAGAATGGTAACAAAAAATTAAAATAAAAAAAACTCAAAGGAGCAAAACAGGAGCTAAAAGCTAAGCGTAGCGAAAGGAAAGCAAAAAGCTACATGCTAGCAAAAAGCTAAAAGCAGCAAAATGCTTGTTAAAAAGCAGTAAAAGGCTATAGCTTAAAGCTAAAAGTGGCACAATGCTAACAAAAAGTTTAATCTAGCAATAATACAAGTAGTAAAACGTGGCAGCCATAAAAGCTGGAAGCAGCAAAATGCTAGTTAATGCAGCTAAAGGCTAGCTGGGCAGGAGTCCCCCACCCACCACCCATACACACACACACACACACACACACACACACACACACACACACACACACACACACAC